GTTCACAAGTAACAATGACTCAACATTTCCCCCCCAAATAGTTTTAATGAAAACCAAGAGAGGTTTTACTTGGCACCAGCCTTTGTTATTTCAGAATGACTCCTAGCTTACTCCCCAAGTCTGTGTCAGACATGAGAAGATGGCTAGTCTGCTTGGTTTTGTGACATCAATTTTTTCCCCATAAATGTGTGTGTGTAAGGGGAAGGGAAGATCATTTGAATCCTACTTTTAAATGTTAACCCTTCTAAGGTTAACCAAGGTTTCCCAAACCTGATACCATCTGGCTGGACAAGTTGATTGGGAACCAAGCTTCAACCCATCCTGATAAGGTTGGGAAAGATGACCTTAATGATCATTTTATAGGAGTAGTAGCTTTCAAATTTCATATTTTTAATAGTGAAGAGGAAACTTTATTTCAGTAGCCCTCGGGACAGGATTCCAGAGCTTGAAGTGAGTGCTGCTTCTATGTTCTATATTGTATGCTAGGCTTCTAAAAGTGCTTCTATGTCATCTGACTGCCTTTAATCACAACTTCACTCATAACATTAGAGCATAATATTAATCATTTCATTATTGCTTTTTATGCTGTGAAGCTCAGCCATTACGGTACAGCTTCTGAATTACACAGTGTAGCGGTGGACAAACTGCAGCCCTCTCTTTAGTGGAACGACAGATTTTGGCTTCCTGGGAGAAAAGATCCAGGTCCCGGAAGTAGGTGCACATGGTGGGAGGGCTCAAAAAAAGTTCAAGCCAAATGCAAAAATGGAGGGTAGGATGAGATTAAGACTGGGATTTTATACTTAGAAATGGTTTTGGATATTCTTTTGCAGAATAGCCGAATTTGGCTCCCCGGAAGGAAAATTTGTGATGCCGGCAGTAGACGCACGGGTCGGGGCGGAAAAAAAGTTGCACCTGAATTGAAAAATGGAGGGCGGGATGAGATTCGGGGTGGAACTTTTTGCTTAGAGAAGGTTTAGCAGAAAGTTTAGCGGAATGGCCGATTTTGGCTCCCCGGCAGGAAAATTCGTGATGCCGGCAAGCAGGCCTGCATGGTGAGAGCCTCAAACATTTTCCACCTGAATTGAAAAGCCAAGGGCAGAATGAGAAACATAGTGGATCGTAACGAGTCTGGGGGGAGGGGGGGGGCTCAAAAAAAATTTCCACCTGAATTTAAGAACAGAATGCATGAAATTTCTCCTTGAATTTTCTTGATCCTTTTTCTGTGAGGAACTTCATTTCCCTAAAATTTAAATTATGCCTACATCGAAAAATTGTCCGTCTCGCTCATCTAATTAAATGCCTTTCATGAAAAAAGGACCGTCTTCCAGGTTGATGCAATCCTCCATGCTTAAGCCAGAACTAAGGAGCAGCTGGGAATAATGCAGAAAAAGGAGTGTTATTCTATGTGTCCCTGATGATCCATTCCAGAAAACAGCTTCTAAAAGTCAATCCAATATTCTGGGGGTCCCTCCACCATCAACCCTAACCCTTAACCTCATCATGACTAGGAGAGGGGAGGCAAAGTTACAGGTATATCAGATACAGATGTGGGAGGAAAAAAAGTCTTACCTACATTTATGGGAGAGGCATCCTGAAACCAGAAAATAAGCAATCCCAAAATGAGAAGCATGGAGTTTGAATGCCTCATAGTGCTGAGAGCAAATATCCAATGCTGAGTTGAGCCATTTTATAGATTGTCCAATAGGGAAATAGAGCTGACCATTCATGCAGTTGGAACAATGAGTTAGTTCATAAGTAGGGACCTTAAGTACAGTTCCGCTATACCTATGTACCCTTCATTCTGTCCCTATTTGGGGTAAGTAGTTCTACATAGGGCATAGCAAATGAGTAAGAAATAGTGGACTTAATAAATTGAAGGCATGTGGAAAGAGATCAAAAAGGAAATATTGCTAAAACAACTTTAGACCAACACCAATTATTCTCCGTATCTTCCCATCCTTGCAAACAAACTCTGTTTTCAACACCTCCGTATATTGCTCCATATTTGCAGAATGAAAGTGTAAAGAATAAAACATCTCACCTCTCTCTTTTCAGGATCTCATCTAATCCAGCCAGCCATGACTCTCATTTTCCCCCTTCCTCTTGAACCTTTCACTTTTCCACTACGGGTTTTCCACTCCTTTCTTACCTTTGAAGTCCTGCACCACCTCCCACCACCCCACATAGCACTGAAGGCTGTGTTCCCGAGTATTCTGCCTCCATACCAGATGCCAGGATTCAGCCTGGAAGGATATCTGAAGTTCTGAATTCCACCTTTCAGGAAAATAACACTTGGAAAAGCTACTTGTGCCTTCCATAAAGGATGGGTGGGATCAGGAACAGTAGCCAGACATTTCTAGAGATATGCACAGTTGGCTTTTCTTCCATGATTGGTACTATTCTGAATGATAAACATGAAAAGAACGATAAACTTTAGGACTGTCAGTGAGGAGAGAAGCACAGCTCAGATGGAAGTCCACCTACCTCATTGATCTAATTCAGAAAAGTTCTTTGTATTCTCAAAGTCTCCTAAATGTTGTGTTGGAAAGTCCCCTACTAAACACAGTGAATTCAATTTGTTTGTTTGCTTGTTTCAAGATTCTATTTTTATACCCTTCATCCATAGAGACATAGAAGTCAGCTATCTCAAAGGGCTGACTAGGAGGGAAGGAGGGAGACCAAGTGTATATTCCTGCAAGATCAGATGCTCTGTATCATTTATTCCCTGCAGGGCCAACCAGCATGGATGTATGCCTTGTGTCCTTCATGCTCCATCCCTCCCAACAATGGGCAGCCTTCTTAAACTCCTGACAGAGTCCCAAAGGAATTAAATCAAAGGAGGCCTCATCTAAGTAGTTCTACATAGGGCGTAGCAAATTGCTAAAACAACTGTGGACCAACACCAATCATTCTCTGTATTTTTGTATGTATTTTAAAATGAATTGACATGGTTCAGAGATTGAAAACATCTTATGGAACCATTCTCTATGAAGAATCTGATATATCTGTCTGAGGCATATTTGAAAGTTTTTTTTTTCTTTTGGTTTAAATTATGGCTAGCAATACATGTATAAAATTTGTCTTGATTTTGCAAATGGTTGTGGTTTCTGTATATCAGCGTGGAACATTCCACTGTTGCATGTATAAGAACTTACATCAATTTGGTTAGTAGCATAATCAGATAGCTATTTCCCTTATTTTTATTATTTTTTTTAGAAAGTCCTGTCACCAACTTCTCTTGGTAGCATTAGTATTTCATTCTGCTCTACTGCCAGGCAACTCTTTCCAATAGGCAAACTGCTTGGTGAAAGAATCCAGTAGAAATGGATAGCTGCCAGGGCTTGGAAGTTTAGCAGCATTTAATAGGAAGTTGTGGTGAGTCCTGGTTCTTCATCTTGCTAGGAAGACAGAGGATTGAGACTGTGTGCAAAGAGATAGATTCTCCAGAGCCCATGGAAAAGAGAGGTTGTATGGCAATAGAATGCAATTGAGAGGTTGTGTGGTCACAAGAATAGAATACACTTTGCTCATGGGGCAAGGTGCACAAAATGTGTATTATTTTGTCAGAAAGATCTTACCTTCTAATTCCTTAAATCTGTGTGAAGGACAGGTTAAGTGCCTTCTGTTGGACAACAGGACTCTGCTAGAGCAATCATACAGGGATGATGGCTAAAGGACACTAACTGAAGTCTGCTTTTCTTCTGCAGACTGAGAAAACACCACAGAAGAAGGAACATGGAACATGTTGGATAATTAGCCTTGAAAAAAGATTCTCACCAGAAGTATAACAATACAATTGCTTATTCAAGTGGCATAGTCCAGAGGCCAGCTGAAACTGTGCAGGGAATGCCACTGGTGCTATCAGTAGGTCCCATGAGACATTTGCCTCAGATGGCAGATTCCTGGAGGCAGCAAGAAAATGCTGGAGGAGTCATTTGACATGGTGACTCGTGTGCCCTCCCATCTTTGTTTTAGATAGATAGAGATATATATTATTAAAAGTTTGAAAGACAACATTAAAACTAACACAAATTAATACAGAATAAAGAAAAAAAGAAAAAAGGAAGAAAAGAACAAAAATGAGGAAAAAAAAGATAAAAATAGGAAGAAGCAGCTTCCGATTTCCTTTACAGCAAATGTAAGTAAATGACAAAGTTAACTCTTACTCTGTGATTACAAAAAAGCTCACTTTTTTCTATTATCCAATTCCCCCCCCCCCCCAATCATCAAAACCACAAGTCATAAGGGCTCTTTTCCCCTGTTTCATGCAAAAAGTCTATAAGGGTTTCCAGTCAGCCATAAATGAAGATATTGTTTTTTTCTTTAATTAAGGAAGTCCATATAGCCATCTCTGCTAGTTCCATCATCTTCATCAACCTTTCCTCCATTGTGGGTAATGTCAAACTTTTCCATTTTTGAGTATATAGTAATCTCACTGCAGTTGTCATGTATAAAAACAAAGTTCTGTGGCTTTTTTCTAGCTTTCTGTCCATTAATCCCAAAAGAAAAGCCTCTGGTTTCAATTGTACATTAGTCTTTAAAATCTTCTGAACTAGTATATTTATTTGTGTCCAAAATTTTCTGGCTTTTTTACACATCCACTGAACATGATAAAATATCCCTTCATGTTGCTCACATTTCCAGCAAAGATTTGAAGAACTTTTATGCATTCTAGACAATTTCTCTGGCGTCAAATACCAACGACACATCATTTTATAAGGATTCTCTTTAAGGCTAGAACATAATGTAAATTTCAGTCCTTTCAACCACATATTTTCCCATTGGTCCATTTGTATATTATAGACAAAACTTTTAGCCCATTTTATCATACATTCTTTACTTCTGTACTTTCCCTTTCTCTTCATTGTCCTCTCTCACAATCTTCCTATAGGCACTTTAAAAAAAAAAAATCTATGCAAGAGGTAGGCAAGTATTTTAAAAAGTGATTTCTTTGAGTTTTTCAGTCAATGTCTTCAAAAGGTCTTTGTGCTTACCTGGATCTATACCTGTATACACTCCCGAACACAATCCTCATGAGTGAAAAAGTTATTTCTGTTGCCATTGCAGCCACCAAAATTGAATGATTTACAAATCTTGGTAGTTCGATCATAGTAAAAGCGAGGAAAGGATTCGCTGCATGGTCCCACATCTAATGGTTGGTCACATGTCTCATACATTAATTCTGGGAAATCCAGGAAGATAAAAGCAAGCAAGGGGTATGTGTGAATATGTGCTTCTATGTAAAAACTCAAATGTTTTCTTCCATGTACAACAAGGGAAACTCCAGACTGGCCTTTTAACATTATATTGGCCAAGCAATAAAAAACATTATGCATAAATCTGTTCTCAAAATTTCCAAGTTTTCTATCTCATTTTCAAGGTGCTTTAGAACTTATTTTGGCGTTTTTGAGCAGACATTATTGTTACAAAGTGGAGGGTGGTGTTGGTGTTGACCTCTGTTAATATCTTTCCATTATTCTGAAGCCTTCCTGCCTTCTACACTTCCCCATCCCAAAAAACCCAAAGGAAGGAGTTGTGCCTCCTGAGATCTTCCTTGGAGTTTCATGGAAGCATGGGAACCATGTCCATTGTTGTACATGAATAAACTATGGACTGTTCAAGTTGTAGATTAAAAGATAGAAATATATATCTTAGATATAAGAAGGCTAGAGCAGGAAGAAAGAACCTGAGAAAAACTGGAAAAAATGGGGAATATTTTCTTCCAGGTTATCACATTATCACCTTCAATCACCTTGTAGCCCTGATACATTTAAGAATGCTGCACTGTGCCTTGGAGAATTTATTTTTTTCTGTCAAATTATGTCATAGACCAACAAGGTAAGGGGATGGAAGGTTACTATTATAATTTCTTATGACAGATTGAACTAGCTATAGCATAAATTTTCCTTAGAACTATTAGCCATGTTTTCTAAGAGCTTTGAATGGAGAAGCAGCACTGAGAAACAGGAACCTTGAATTCCCATCTGTTCTTGGTACATTCTTATGCAGTTGTTCAACTTCTCACTCTATTCTTTGTTCTTATTCTTAACACCCTTTTCATAACCACATTCTGTATAGAAGATACTTCCAATGCACAGCCAGCAGTGGGTATTCAATATTTTTGGAATGTATCATTGGAATGGTCTCAGGAGTCATACAGAAAGCTGAGCTCTGCCAGAAATTTCCTAAGCTGAGAGCAACTAAGAGTCCAGCAATTAAGCATGCAGGCGGGTCAGTAACTGAGACAGGAAGTATTTGCCTGAGGGTCACACAAGGAGCTCCAGAACAATGTTAACATTTCCCTACTTTTCCATTTGGTTTAACTAAGGCAAACATCTAGATGTTGACAGACATAGTGGTTGAGCTTGAAGCCCCTAAACTAGGGTCTAGCTTCTGGGAATGGGATCAGGGAGAGGTCATGTGACTGATAATAATTATGAGTTACTGACTCTATCTGATTACACTGGTATTATTTCCAAGAGTTAGCATGGCTCCAGCTTTCCCAGTTAATCAAGATAACTGATGAGTAGAAAGTACCAACTGATCAGTTTTTGATTGAGCCCAAGATAATTGCTTGGACTTTTGGGTGGGGGTGGGGGGCATTATCTTTAGATTTCTGCTGGATTTTAGGAACATCCCTCAGGTACAGTAAGGCTGGAGTGTGGACCTGGTTGCATGCTAGTTCAAGTCACACAATTATGGAGAAACCCAAACTTCTTGAAGCCAATGTGAAATGCACCAGGAAATGAACCAAATGCATAGACAAATTACAAGCAAGAAGTAGAGGATCTGAAAGTATCATCAGCTTGAAGATCAGATGGGTTCAGACAATGGAACGCTTACCTGGATTCAAAGGTTTCTGAGAGTCTCCTACAATAAGAACAAGGAAAGCTATGTTATTTAAAGGCACTTCTAGATGACTGTCCTTGCCATCGCCCAACTCTTCTCTTCCCATTTAAAAAAGACAGTTCAGATTAACTCCATCTTTTCTGTTTGGAGACATTGGGGTGGTGGTGAGCATGAAGATGTTTACATTTTACAAATCTACAGAGGCTGAAGAGAACTGACAGTCATTCAGTGCTTGCCTTTCCCAACAAACAATTGAACCTGGACAGTTATTACTACAAATACTTTCTTTAAGCCCCTCAATTGCATGTTAAAATATACACCCCTTGCCACAATGGCATGCACCAAATGCTTTCCAAGTTCAGCCTTAAATTCTGATTACTCTCCTCTTGAGCCCCTTTATACAGTCAGGTCATTCCATCATCACAAGAAGATCCACAGGGCTGGGAAGGAAACAAGACAATTATCCTTTCCAGGCAAAGAACAGAAGAGCCTTTAGAGGCAAGGTAGTTGTTTGTTGCTGCTGTTGCTGCTACTGCAGTGACACTCACAGTGTGATGGACTGGAATGGAGGAAGGGGGGTGAAAATGGTGCTTTCGTCCCCTTCCGTAACCACACGCCCGGGATATAAGGAGGAGTGGGGGGGCCGGAAAGTACACTACACAATATGAGAGAAGATGTTTG